TCAGTTTGGCAAATTGTTAAAAGGTTTTCTTTACTATATTTTTTTATTATATGGGTACTTCTTAATTAAATTTAAAAATAAAATAAAACAAAAATTCAAAATTGTAATGCAAATAATAATTTTAAATATTTTTAAATTTTTAATGGATCTTCTAATATTTTGTCCAACATCAGGTGGGTATTAGATTTTTACTACAAGCAATTTAATACACTTAACACGTTAAACGCCACGGCGTTATTGGTGATTTTGTTTACTGGGCCAAGTTGATATTTTACTTGTATCATTTTAAAAAATAAAATCGTCAAAATACAGATTAAAAAATAAATAATTAAAAAACTCTTGTATCTTCGTCAGCCGTCAGGGCCAAGCGGTCATATGCATGCTTTAAAATACCTTATACGAGCGGTCCGCTGGCCAGAAAATCATGTTAAACTGTTAAACAAAAAATTGACAGGCGGTCCCTAGGGACCGCCGTGGCCTGGATGGAAAAACTATTAGCGGTCCCCTGGGACCGCCGTGGCCATTAACGTGTTAATAGCTCTTCCTGAAATTTTACTAATTTTAAAAATGTCCAACCACTTATTACAACACAATAAAATAATGTTTTCTAAAATTTTTGGATTTTTAAAGTGTTTCCCTCCTTAGATTTCAGATAGAAAATACCCGCTATTTTTAAAAATATCCAACTAAAAAACTAGTAATCTTGCTGAAGAAATGTTAGCCACATATTACAACCCCTTAAAAGAATGTTTTCTGAAAATGTTGGATTTTTAAAGTTTGTTCCTTCTAAATATTTGTGATTTAAAATGGCTCAAAACTTTTAAGGGAAGTAGTACAGGTACTATAAGTCTATTTCCAAGTTCAGTCTTAGTTTTAACTTAAACATTTTTAACTGTAAAAGAATAAGTTTTATTTTAAAATCGTTAACATTTACCAATTTTGTTTTGTTTATTTACAACCCATAAATCTCCTGTACAGAAAAAATTGTACTTTTTATGCTCTTACGTGGTTTATGTTTAAATTAAATATCTTTACCGCAAACATGTAAGATGCAAAAAAGTCTGATGCACCAATACAAAATGATAGCATACAAAAAACTTAACATCGAGATAGTACAAACATAGGAAATAAATTAAAAAAATAAATAAATTTTGTCATAAACCTTTTTAAATTAAATTGGTTGATTTGATATGTTTTTTATTATAATATAATATACCCATATTATCGGTACTCCTCATATTTTTATAAATTTGAAAATAAAACAAGCAAATAAAAAATTAAAAACTTTAATGCAAATGAAACAATAGTATATTTCACTTAGTTAATTAAGATGGAGAATGGTACAGTATTAGAATCGGCTTTTGAAGAAGAAGGGGGCCATCCATAAAGTACGTCACACCTTGTCATGTATAATAGTATAATTAAAGCACACGATGTCTTAAACCCCTTTTCCTAAACGTGTGACCTACAGTTGTATTCATTAAAAAAGCGTACAAGAATTAGAATGAGAGAAAACTGTCAACATTATTGCGTAAAACCGGCTTTCCACTGACTTAAGTCACTATAACTGACAGTAGAAAATAAAAATGCCTCGTCAGTTAAAAAGGCTCAAATAGTATCAAGAATCGAAGAAGAATGGTCAATTCATACTGTGGTATAATGGAAATAAAAAATCTATATTAAAAATTAAGCAACGCTGGAACAGGAAGATTTATTAAAACAAAAAGTTGGTTCAGGTCGTCCCAAAATGTCCACCCCTGCACAGGATGCTGCTTTTTTGGGATATCTGAGGATTTATGGGAAACTATACAACTATACTATACCTAAGTACTATACTGCTGGGAAGATATTAATCCAAATATTGTATTAAATTTAATTCAGTTCATCCCAAATAGATTGGCTCAAGTAATAGAAAAACAGGGATGCATGACTAAATATTAAATTTTTTTTAATGTTTGTTTTTTTTTTCATTTCTAAAAGGTAATAATTTTTGTAATATTATTTAATTAACCTACGACGTCAATGCTCTTTATAACCTATAGTAATTATTTTAATGACTTATGTCAGTGATAAGCCTGTTTTAAGCAATAATATTATTTTGACAGTTTTCTCTCATTCTAATTCTTGTACGCTTTTTTATTGAATACAACTGTACTTAATGAAATACCCTAGAAATATAGAAATCAGTTTTACTGGCATTTTAATCGATTAATTTTAATATAATCGATAAAAACTCCAATAAAACCGATTTTACATCAACTAGTTTTTCAGACCGTGCGCTGTTGATAAAAATTAATTAAAATTTCATATTTAGGTATATTGACCAAATTTAACCTTTTATTCTTAAAAGTTAAAATTAATTTAAACAAAGATTAGTTTACAAAATATGTTTTTTTTTGCCAAAGCCGGTACTGCCTGCTATTTATTAAGGTAGACGACTCGCATAAATAACTAAATATAGTTTTATAAAATCTTCTATTAGAGGACGACGTTCTGTGTAGGCAGAAGATCGGTTTATATATTTCGTTTATTCTTATTGTGCACATCAATTACCTTCTATAATTCAGTATGCCGATTATTTTTAGTTTTATTGGGAAATTTAACGAGAAATGTCAGTAGTTTAATAGTCGTTAAATAAGCACGATGAATGCAATTGATTATAATTTGCAGTTAAATACCTAGGTATCCTTATTTTACTGCAATTTATATTTGTAGTTGGTAATACGCAATTAAATAATTTGCTGGTTTATATTAATTTTACTCGTGAATAAACAGTAAACAAATATTTTTTAATTTTAATCAAATATTAACCAGATTTTAGGTTAATCCAGGTCCACATAACTTTATGTTAAGTTTACAACCAACTGTAATCTGTTAACTAATAATTATTGATGAAATAGTTTGTAATTATAACAAACATTTTGTAGATTTAATAACAAAATGCTGTATCAATAATTTAACCGTAATTCTTGTAATTTTTAAAAAAGACCTTATTTTTAGAAACATTTTTGTAGACCTAGTAAAAAAAGTATTTGTTGGAAATTGGGAACTAAAATGAAAATAATTTTAATAAAAACTGTTGCTTTATTAATCAATTTTCTAAACAAAAAAATTAACACACAAGTACTGTATTGTGCGAATTAATGTGAACATAGGAATTTCTATATTATTTTATTATTATTTTAACAATGCTGTGGCAATTTTGACAGGTTTTTCTTGACATATCCCATAACCTATAATTCTAATGAAGTAATTGCTAATGTCAGTCATTTTGCCGGTTATAAACTGGCCTGTAAACGCACCGGGCATTAATCCTATTGAGAATTTGTGGGCTATATGCACGGACAAGACTAAAAATGAATTATACAACAAAAACTAAGATGATTGAGGCTGTCATTCAGGTATGGTTTCGAGATGACAAAATAAAGGAAAGTTTCAAAACAATGATTAATTCAGGCCAAAACTTTAATAAAGGCCAAAAAGTGGACATATTCCCTAATAAATAATACTAAAATATTTATTAACTAGTACTGTTTGTATTTTTTATTTCAATAAATAATATTTAACGTAAATCCATTTGTGTTTACATTGATTCGCACAATACTGTACATTAATAAAAACAAACACAATTAAATAACACACCATTCTAAAATCATCAAATTATAAAGAAAATAGTATATTAAAGTACAAGTTGCAGAAGGCCACATATTCTCGCACGAATTCGAAATTTGGCCTCGAGCGACGAAGGAGCGAGTGGACGAACGAATGAGTGCGAGAATAGCCTTCTGCAACGTGTGATTTATACTATTTTCTCGATTTTAACTTTTATTTAGGTTTTTTTAATTGTTTTGTGGTCGTTGTTAGTTAGGGGATTTTTCTCGCAAAATGTCAGTTGGCAACACAAAATGACAATATTTGTTATCCTGCACAAGTACAACCTGAACTGCACTTTTACACATTAAACTTAAAATTTTGCATTAAAATGCATTGTTGGAGCAAACTTTATATTACAAAACAATAATAAAGGCTTCATTTTCAATAAAAGTAATGAATTTGAGGTTATTAATCAGTTTGACATTTTGGGGGTACCAATACTTAAAAACTAAATGTTACCAAAAATCGTTTAAGAATGAGCTTCATTCTTCAACGATTTTGCGTGCGAGAATATGACATTCTTACATAAAAATCGAGAAAGGTAATATATAATTATTAGTAATACTACAACACTTACTGATGTATTTAGTAACTTTAACCCACTTCACTGTATTCCCCAATTTCAATTTGAAATTGAAAACCAGTGATGGCATCTTTTTTAGGATACTTCGCACTTTGCACACTCGTTAAATAGGTATAAGGAATCCGAATAACAATAATAACAGATTTCTAACACTCTGGACAGTTGTTACAACTTGTAACTTACAAGCACGTTACGAATTAGAATAAAGTAAGGAGAAACAAACATAAGTTGCAGACGCTGAAGTGAGAAATGTTTTGATTGACTGCCTAAAATCATGTGTACTTTTTTAACGAAATAATTTGTTAAACATTAACAAAATAATCCGTAACATTTGAAATTAACAAAATGCTTACAAAATTGCATATTATCTTTTGGTAAAATATTTTCCTTCGTAAAATAATTACAAACCCTTTTCCACAAAAAAATATGTTAAAATTTTATAAAATAAAATTAATAAACAACAAACTCATGTCAACAAAAATGATTGTTATAAGTGTATTTTAATAGTTACTCTGATATTAAATTGCGTATTAAAAAAATGGTGAATGCGCCGGGATAAATATTGTTTAGTAAAGAAAAACCGTTATATTATTATATTATTTGTGCTAGCAAAAGTGCATAAAATAAAGATAATTCACCCACGTAAATTACGTCTTTCCTATTGCAGATATGTTACATTGTATCAATTTTGATTGATCGCCAATCAATCCAATATCAAACTGTACATTTGCATGGCAAACACCATGATTAATTCACGCTGGCAACGTGGCTCTCCTTATTTGTACTGATAAATTATCTGGGTTGTCTTATCGACGTGTTCAATTGTTTCAGGACATGTTCTCGAGTTTACTGTCGAGCCGACTGACACCGTCGTCGAGTCCGGCCAATCGGCTGTGCTTGATTGCGTTGTCAAGGCGTCCCAGCATCAATCCAGCGTGCTGATACAGTGGATGGACAAGGATGCATCGACACTTAATTTTCTTGGAGACACCTACAGGTAAAAACAATTGTTTATAAATTGTACATGGATTGGAATGCGGTTGAGACATTTTTTGACAAATCGGCCATTTCAGGCATACGGAGGGGACAAATCACAAAACTGTTTTTATAAAAACAAATTTATATTATTTTTGCACCAAAATTGTCAAATATATTCTTCTTTTATTAGGCTATACATTAAATTAAAAAAACGCAAGAGATAGTAGAGATAATTTTAATAATTGACAGGTGTGAACGGGATAATACAAATCTTTGTCCCGTCCACACCTTTCAATTACACAGTGCAACATTTTTGAGGTCATGGAATGTAAACACCGTTTTGAGTGGTGTTCTTCAAAGTACTTTATAACAGTAGCAAAACCCCAGTTGGGTTTTGCTAGTTTGTTTCCAATAAGGATTTTATTGCATTTTGAAAATTTTGACTCAGGCTTGTGTATGTTGTAGGATATATTGGCCTATTGATAAGCGATTTTAATATATATTTTTTTAATTTGTAGGGTTTTTGTTAGGGATGATCCCATAAAAATTATATGAAAAAATACCACCCCTAAGGGTAAAAAATTGGGGATTAAACTACAAATAGGTCTGTTTTGAAGCTATAATACGAGATACCTTCGCCAACTGTGAACTGTTTTTTTTTAATTATTTTAATAATGTGTAGGGTATATAAATTTATTAAAAAAAATCCACCCCTAAGTATAAAAAAAATGGAAATTTATTTTTATATTGGCATTTCATCAACTTCCCGTTTTGAAAATTGTTTCTTGGATTAAAAAACATATACCAAGGGTTGTCCCATTCTCACTAAATCAAGATGACATGGTGTTGTGGTTTTGGAAGCTGAATGTAGGAAGAGTTTTGTTTTTAAATTAATTTTAAATCAAATAAAATATTTATTCTTAGAAAAAATGTGAAAAAAATGTTCAAAAATGTGTTACATTATAATCTAACTAGGTATAATTAATCAATATCCATTGCCATTGACGCCTCTAAAGATCTCGAGCATCCGGGAAGATTCAGGGGCATATCTCTATTAGCGTCTCCATATTCAGTCTCCTCAGGATATTCAGTGTTTTCATATTGAAATATTTTTTGACTCCCCTGTATCGTTTTTCCATTGGCATGGTTACCTGATGGAAGCGCTCTCCTTGTTCATCCGATTCAGTGGGCAATTGTTGTAAAAATTCATCTAGGTGAAAATGGAGGAAATGCAATTTTAATGTCATGGATACATTAATTTTTTGAAAATAATAGAGCATTTGGCCCACCAATTTCTTCACTTTGTCTCGCTGCACACGATTCTTCCCCAAAACGCCCTCGATTACAGCTTTTAGTGCATCCCAAGCATTCCGGTGATCGGTGATTTTGTGAACCTATCGTTTGCAGTTAACTTTCTGATATCTGGTCCATTAAGCACACAAAATTTTATTCACAATTAGAATCAAGCGAAGTTGATATAGTTGGGCCGATAGGACATGGCCGATACGTCATCACGGTATTACTCATTTAAGAATTTAACCTCAATACGACAAGATGAAAAACAAATGCAAATGTCCGAACTTAAGTCATACCGTGATGACGTATCGGCCATGTTCTATCGGCCCAACTATATAAAAATGTTATAATAATTATAATTATTATTTATAAATAACAGTTACCATGTTTAATTTTGTCGTTGCTAAGTTTTGGAAATATGGTTTTCAAACAGTCAAACACTTCATCATCATCCTTAACAGCCACTTTGATGAATTTTTTAACAATGCCCAATTTAATGTGAAGTGAAGGCAGTAATATGTCATTAATGTCCTTTATTAAAGGATCATTAACCAATTTTAATTGTGGTTTGTTTTCGGGAGTTCTTCTAACCCAATCCTTACAATCCCTGCTTAAAATACCCCATAGAGACCTATACAAAATAATCTATCGGGCGCTACGGGATTCAATATGTGCATTTGTCCATGGTTTTTTCCGGATACAGCCCGATAGAAAATGTATAGGAAATTACCTATAGGCACACCATAACTTTTACATTTTCCCTATTGAGACCGATAGAAAATAACTCAATGAAGGATATATAGGGATATCCCTATAGAGCAACCATAAAACATTTGACAAAATTTTATTAAAACCTATGGGGTCCTATAGGGAAAAAACTAATTTCTACATTTATGTGTATTTTCCCCATTGAAACCGATAGCAAATAAATCAATGGTGGATATCCCTATAGAACAACCATAAACCTCAACTATGGGTCCTATACAAACCGATACACCCTATAGAAACACCATACATCCCGATACAAATATCTATCGGTTTGAACAGGGTCTCTATGGGGTATTTTAAGCAGGGATGATATTGGTCCACTTTGCTTCGTGAATCCCAATTACAAAGAAAACAAAAGTATTTAGGAAAACCACCCTTTGTTATAATACCTCGTAATATGTTGACAACTTTTAAATCACAGCATATTTTCCATTTATGATCATTATAGTTGATTTTCTTTAATATATTGTTCAATGTATCATAAGACTCCTTCATATTTGTACCCAATGCTAAGGGAATAGGCGGTTTTTGGTTTGTTTTGTGCAACAGCACAGCTTTCAAACTTGAAACGGACCCATCAATGAATAAACGCCAATCTCTAGCAACGTACTCCATTCCCAAATTATTCGCCAAAGTTTTGATGTTATTGCAGTAAGTGAATGTATTTGTGGTATCACTGGTATATAATTTCTGAAACTCACTTTGGCGTTTCCTATATGCAGTGATGCTTACATTCTGCTCTGTGAGTTTCCTATGCTTCAAGTATGAGGTCAAAAATTCAGAATTTCGCTGTGATAAATTCATCTTAGCCACAATGTAGTCCATTTCTGTTTATGTAAGCGGTTTTCGTTCTTCGTCTTCGGAATTGTCTATATAATTTGCATCTTGCAAATTGGTTTCATCGGCAAAAACGCTATCGCCTATCAATTGGGACAAAACATCGGGGCTTGGAGCTTTGGGTGGTTCTACATCTTCAAGGAGTGGCAGTGGAAGTGTGCCAGTAAAAGCGGCAACATATTTTTTTAATTTCGATTTTGTCCTGTTAATTCGAGGGACAAAATTAATACATGGATGCATCATGACCTTTTGGGTCTTTTATCCAGATCACCGGCTTAGAAAAAGGCATATTCCTTCTTCGTCGATGTAACCAATGCATCAGATTGATATAGCAGTTATTGCATACTGTATTTGGCGTAAAATCTTCAACAGTCGAATCCGCTTCGTCAAATTATAAAGTGTATGCTTTTTTAAATTCTTTAAATTTTTTCGATCTTTCTGCTGCAATTTAGGCACTAAATAACCACACACGTAACAAAATGCATTTAATTTTGGACACTTGCTATTTTCCATAATAACTTGTTCACTTAAAATCACTTATCTGAGCTACACGGAATTTGTATCGCACGACGCTAATAGCAACAAAACGTGAATGATTAAAGTATGCTGTTTTTTGGGTTAATTTCTTATGTACTTTTTTTCTTCTAGTCGATAAATACTATTTCGCTACAGAGAGAGAAACAATACACAGTTAATGCGAAAACATTAACTGATTTCAAAAAATAATAAATATATTTATAGACATTTAAAAGGGAAAAATAATTAATAGGTAATACGTTAAAACCTTTCCAAACTTTATGCCGTTTTTATAGATTTTATAATATTATGTCTTTTGATGTGTTGAACAGACTTAACAGATTTTAATGTCTAATATATAAATAATTATTGTTAATTTTTGCATCTAATATATTTTATAAAGTCAGTTTTTTTAGTAAAACTTATTTTCACATTTTACTGTAAATTTTCCCATCATGTCATCTTGAGAATGAGACAACCCATGGAATATACCTTTTAAACCAAGAAACAATTTTCAAAACGGGAAGTTGATAAAATGCCAAAATAAAAATTAATTTCCATTTTTTTTTCATACTTAGGGGTGGGTTTTTTTCAATAAATTTATATACCCTACACATTATTAAAAGAATTAAAAAAAAACAGTTCACAGTTGGCGAAGATATCTCGTATCATAGCTTCAAAACAGACCTATTTGTAGTTTAATCGCCAATTTTTCACCCTTAGGGGTGGTAGTTTTTTATATAATTTTTATGGGATCATCCCTAACAAAAACCCTACAAATTAAAAAAATATATATTAAAATCGGTTATCAATAGGCCAAGATATCCTACAACATACACAAGCCTGAGTCAAAATTTTCAAAATGCAATTAAATCCTTATTGGAAACAAACTAGCAAAACCCAACTGGGGTTTTGCTACTGTTATAAAGTACTTTGAAGAACACCACTCCAAACGGTGTTTACATTTTTAGTGTTGCACTGTGTTATTTAAATTATCTATACTTTTATAAAATATTTTTTGCATTTTTTTATTTAATGCCGAAATATTATATAATAAATTATCTCCAACTTTTTTTTATAAAGAGTTTTGTAATTCGTGCGTTTGCGCGCTTGAAATGGCCGAAATGTTAAACTATGAAAAATTGAAAATGTCTAAAAACTAAATTAAAAAAATAACAGCAAAGCTAGAAATAATGTAGATCATCTTATCCAAATATGATTTCCAACTCTCTTAAAATGATTTAGTCAAAAATAACTAGTGAAAAAGTGAAAAAGCAGTGACTTGACTAATAAATGTAGTCCACAGCAATTTGTATTCCGGACATTTAACAGCCAATTATTATGTAAAATTTTCCCCTGAATCTGAAAAGACCGTCAAAAATTAGAGTAGAGCAGTTTTTGAGATACAGTCAATTGGAATGCAAAATGCTATTGACAACAATTATTAGTGGCTGCTGCGTCTTTTTTTACTAATTCATTTGAGAGAGTACTCTCTAAAAATTATTTAGTCAAAAAAGACTAATTGTCATAGCGAAAGAGCAGCCACTAATAATTCAATTTCCCTGTCTATAGTTAGAAAAGTTAAACAGTTTTTGAGATATA